TAACAAAATATCCACGTGTTCATTTAAGTATTATCATACTTTAGGTTGTGAGATCAGCTACTTACCTTACAAGTAAGAAATGTCCCACATGATAGTCTATCCGTAATAACGATATCCGTATCTCGTTATTACTTACGACGATCAACGATTTAAGATTCAATCATATGTAATTTGTATTTCACAATCACAACTCCTTGTGATTAACAAATTATCAAGATTTGAATCTACAGACTCTATTTAATTTAATTGAATATTAATTAAATAGATCTGTCATACAATGCATCAATTATATAATAAAAGTATTTATATCCAAGATTGATTGAGTTTAGGGCATAACACTTACACTCCACCCTCTCCAGGAGCTCTTCAAGGATTCCATGGTTCACTAACTGCAAAATTTTCCACAAAAATTACAATTTCAGATTCCAAGATGCAAAAATGTGTTCATATTCTTTTACGGACATGCTTTCTACAACGATTATTATGATCAAAGCTTATCAGCTTTCAGCCAGTCACATTGAAGTGGTAATGAATAGTACCTGACAGAATCACCATTCTTCTCAGTAGTTAGCAATTCGAGTAGGAATCACCCGTCAAAGGCTTTCTCGATGTGCCATTTTAGTAGTCCCAACTTTTCATACATTACTTCCGTGAATTTACCTGCCAGATTTTTTAGTTAAGCTTGGTATTTTGATGTAGAAGGTTCCGAGTCAAGTGAGCATTTGTTATATGATCGTAAGCTTATAGCTAACTACCTCTGATGGATTTTAGCCTGTGGCATAAGCCCCGATTCTTGCCGTGTTAATGAACGGAGACACGAAAGAATCCCAATCTTTCGCAGCTATTTGAGCCAAAGTTTTCACCCTTTCCTTACCATCGATTGATAAATCAATATGCAGTAATGGTCATTAATTGAAAAGCGCAAAACAAAGCACAAGAACTGTATCTTTTTTTGAAATGTTGGCACTGATGTGGTGCAGAAGAGGTTTCCTCAGGGCTACAATTTCTTGAATAACCCTATATTTTATATGCTATTTTTTTTAAATAAAAAGTAACATAATTGAAGTTTAGCGCCAATAGAGCGAGGCGATGAATATTACAACCCAATTTTTTTAGGTCAAAAATCAATAGTTGAATTGTCAAAATCAAAGTCAAAGTCAAATAGGAAATAAAATAAAAGAAATTATTTTACTTGGGGGGGTTTTTTATGAAAAAAAATATTTTGAGGGTTTAAGATGGATAAAAATTTAAAGTTTGGATTTATTTTTCTAATTTTGGAAGTTAAGGATTTAATACTTTGTTATACGAAATTTAAAATGATTAAATGTTATATTTTATGGAAGATGAGGGCTTACCTTACAAAAGCCCACTAACTTGACCATTTAAACCCGATTGCCAAATATTCCATAGATATTCCATAGATGAAAATTTAAAGTTTGGATTTATTTTTCTAATTTTGGAAGTTAAGGATTTAATACTTTGTTATACGAAATTTAAAATGATTAAATGTTATATTTTATGGAAGATGAGGGCTTACCTTACAAAAGCCCACTAACTTGACCATTTAAACCCGATTGCCAAATATTCCATAGATATTTTACATACAAAAATAGGGCGAAGGGGCTGGAAAACGGAAGAGAAGGAAAGAGGAAAAAGAAGAAAGAAAAGAAAAGAGAAAGGAAGAAAGAAAGTAAAGGAAAAAGAGGAGGAGAAGAGGGAAGGAAACTAGGTAGTTCAAACTTGTTTCCGTTCTCATTTCTCTTTATTTTCTTCAAGAGGTAAAGAAATAATTTTACGTTAAATTTCTAGGGTTTTAACTTGTCGTATAAATTTCAGATTTAGGAGGATAAGAGTACAAATTGGAGCTCAAGTTTGTTGATTTTTTAATTTCCAATTTTATTTAGGTAAGAATACCAATTTTTGGCAAACCCTAGATTTTAAATGGATGCTTGAGTAAGGATTAATTGTGAAAACGATTATGTTGATGGAATTGTTCACTTGAAAGAATGATTTTATTGAATAAGATGTATATTAAAATTGGGGCAAGTGTGATTCCAAGTTTTCACTAAATGGTAGATGGGATAATCATTTTTATGCTTTGCATGAAGGTTATTTTGAAAAATTGGTTATTTATTAAAAGGACTAGAGGGAGGAATTACCTCCAATTAATAAAGGATAATATGGAAAATTTATTTAAGAATCGAGAAATTTAGTTTAACTATTATATAATTAGAGATAAAAGATTTCTTGATTTGATAGTGGTTAAATTGGTTATCTTGTATCGTATTTCAAGTGGTAACGAGAAGATTGAAAAAGTTGATCGACTTTCATAGCTTGTAGCTAGACTTGTGAGTGAATATAAACTTATTTTTCAGAAATTAGTATTTATCAAATTTATATTAGATCAGAAAATTTATTATTTCATACAGTTGATTTGATAGCGTGATTTTCAAATTAAAGTGAATTTATAATCAGTTGTTTCTTTAAAATTAAATTAAATTCAGTTAAATCTTTTGATTAGCATGTTATATGAATGTTAAATATTTTAGCATATTTAAAGTTATTTTTAAAACTATCAAAAAGTACCCATGTAATTTTACCCTATTCTGCATTAGTGTGAATTTGTTTCCATAGTGTATCATCAGCTATGATGATTTTACCCGCTCTGCACTATGGTGAATGTGTTTCCATAGTGTACAGTCAGAATTGAATAATTGAATAATTTTGCCATGTATATCGGTACTAATCGATACATAAGTAAGGTTATTTCGGATACGTTTTTTATGTAATTTTTCAGTATTATTAGCTTATCAAATTTCAGACTACCGAATTTAGCTTATTTAGTTTTCAGAGTGATGATTTTCAGCTTATAATTCTGTGAAAGGATATTTTCACTTATAATTATTAATATCAAGTTATTTATATTTATTAAACCTTACAGTTACTTATCTAGAATTAAAGATAAAGAATTTTATAATGCAATCATGTTGAATTTTAAAAGTGCTACCAAATTTCAAAATTTCTTAAAGTTTTAATATAACATGAATTTTTAGAAAAAATACATAAATGGAAAAAATATACTCATTGCAAATTATCAACTCATTGAGCTTAGCTCATATATTTTTTCACATTTTTCTTTATCAGATAGCAGTCGAGTTGAACAGTTTTGGAGCCTGTTGATCCATCAAATTGAGCCACACGTCATTAATTGTATGACCTACTTTATCATATTATATAGTACATGTTTCTTGTAGTTTATGTCAGAAAAGGTTATCATGGACTCACTGCATATTTGATATTTTTAGTACATTTGAGGATTGTTGATTGTAAAGTAAGTAAATATCGATTTGTCGGTATTTTATTTTGAATAGTTAGCATTTTGAGAGACTGGAGTATTATATTTTAAATTATATTTACAGGTTTTCTTAAGTTGATTTAAATTTGAGATGGTTTTAGTCCAAATTTCAGATGAAATTTTGTCAAATTTTTTATAAAAATATATCACAAATAAAGCAGGTCAGAGTTACCTTGGTGGTGAGTCCAGCGCTTAGCTGGTATTTATTATCAGTGCACGATACGTGTCGAGTCCATTAGGGTGATTCGGGACGGATCGTGTCAATGAAAATCAATATTGGACGAGAGAGGAACTAATATAACTGATGTCTCACATGAGAAACATTCTCCCTCAGCTGATGCATCTAATCGTCATCATTTTTTAATTAATTCACTAATATTTTTAGTGCATAATTAATTAAGACGGAAAATAAAACATGCACATTAATATTAATATATGTAATGAATTTTTGTTGGCTGTCCCATAACGAACATCAGTTTTAAAATCTTCCATTTTGCCAAACTTCGATGATTTCTAGGCCGCCTTCCTTGAGGAATAGTTTCACAAGAACGAGAGGAACTAAGGTAATATCCGATCTTGTTAGAGTAGTATTGGTACCCAAAGAAAGCAGTCATTAACTATAACTTCTATATGACATGAATCGAATCTTCTTCAAATATTGCGTACCACATTTCCTTCTTTATGCAATTATATGCATACAAATTGTGTTATGTTAATTTTTTTTAATGCTTGACATTCAAATCTCTGCCGACTTCAACTGTTCATTATGTTGATTGTTGACTAAAAATTCTCTTTTATTTCACTCACGTTTAACTTTATTAACACTTGACATGCTTTTCTATGATAATTAATGATCAGATGGAATAAAGTAATTCAAAGATTAATAGGCATAGTTTTAGGGTTAAGGAACAAGACCAGATGTAATAAACAAAGCTATTATTAGCAAACCCTGATATTTAATTTTTTAAATACATATTGTCAACAGCTCTGGGAAAAAGTGTAGTGTAGATAACTAAGACGTCTTTCAAGAATAAAATCTGTAACTAAACAAGCTGCGTTGAACAGATCATTGCGTTCTTGTTAGATGCTGATTTTCGGATTAGTAGGGGCACACTAACTGGTAAGTGGTAACCGATAAACATTATGGTCCCATCAGTAACAAAAAATTGTAAAAATAATAGAAGGAACATTATATGGTACTTTATCTGCATATATTATTATGTCACTTTTACGTTGTAAAACACTTAAATAATAAGGGGCTGTTCTTTTTGTATTTCAATTTTGTAGTTTGAGTTTTGAATTCATTTTGGATTTTGTGTTTTAAGTGCCTGTTTTAAAATTGTTGAAAATACGTTCTTTTTGCCATTTTGGAAAACTATTTCTCAAATGGAACCATTTCCCGTGTTTTCAATTTTTTCAAGATTTGTACTGAAAACACCCAAAACGACAAAAATGTCGTTTTGTGTTTTCTTCACAATTTTTTTTTCGTTTTCGAAACCGGGAAAGAGAACGAGTTTTCATCGTTTTGAAAAATCGAAAACCGAAAACGGCCCGAAAACACCAAAGAGAACACACCCTAAAGCTCTCGTGCTAATTTTTCATCTCTCAGTTTTGCTCATGCAAGGCCACCCTAAAACACCCCAAACATACAAAGAAAGGAAAAAGGAGACATGCATGGAAAATGTACAATAACTCATTTTCCTTACTTAGCTTTCACAGCTTGGAATCTTGGTTCTTTAGGGAGGAACTTTTGTTCAGTATAAACAGACATGTAATCACCAAACACAAACTTGGGGTAAATTGGATCCACCGCCAGTTTGTCAGTTTTCTCAACCAGTTCTTGAGCAGGTTCTATGGTAGCCTTGAGTGATGGATTGTAGAATGAAGCAATTGATCTTCGATTCCCGTCCGTCGATGCAAAAACCCGGTGCCAAACACTCTTGTATCTTCCATTGCTGAGTACTTCAATCTGATCCCCAGTGTTTATGACTACTGCATTTTTCATAGGCTGGACATTAATCCACTCCCCATCTTTCAGAATCTGAAGCCCTTGAACCTCATCATCTTGAAATAATAAGATGACACCTCCGGCGTCGGTGTGTGCCCGGAGGCCGGTCAACTTTTCGGGGTGAGAACATGGCGGATAATGGCTCACCTTGGTGCCGAAGACAGCGTTTTCTTCTTCTTCGGCCCCGTTGAAGGCTTTCTTTATGTACCCTTTTGGTAATCCCAAGTTTTCATCCATTATTTCCATGACTTTAATTGCCAGTTTTTTCAGTTCATGTCGGTATTCCTTCATGGTTTCCCTGTCAATATATGTATGTAAACATGTTATATGACGAACAATGATAAACGAAATTTCGTTCTCAATAAAATTGCAGTTGATGACATGATGTAAAAGTTCGACTAACTAATCAGTAAAATTGATGAAAATTATGCTTACTTGAATCGAGGAGTCTTTGTTGGCCATTCATTTTCATTCTCATCTGAAAGAAGGAAAACATCCTCCCAATCCAAATTTTCCAATTTGTCCTCACTTTTCTTTTCCACCAATTCATTTAGAAGCTTAACAGGCTTTGAATTCTTGAAATTTTCCTCTCTTTCCAACTTGTAGCATTCGGCGGCCACCCTCTTCACCCTCTCCAGGAGCTCCTCAGGGATTCCATGGTTCACTAACTGCAAAATTTCACACAATTTCAGATTTCATAATGCAAAATGTAGCAATAAAATGAATCACAGATCTTCGGCTAATTCGATATTTAAAAATGACATTTAAAAGTGTATTCTTTTTTAAAAAAAGATTTCAACTCTTCGTCGTGTGTTTAGCTTTACGTGACCGCTTTTGGCCCTCGCAGAAGGCTCGATTCCTTTGAGTGTTAATTAACAGTTACCTGAAAGAATCCCCATTCTTCGCAGCAGTGAGCAATTTGAGTCAAGGTTTTGGCCCTCTCCTCACCATCAAGCTTTGAGAAATCAATCACTGGAATAGCCATTAATGTAAAAGAAACAAAGAACAAACACTAAGTAACTCTCCTTAAACTGATGTGGTGCTGAAAAGGTTTCCTCAAGGCTATTTATACAGTGAAAATTTCATAATTTCCCTTCTTGGATGTCAAAGCTGTATTTTTTAATAATTTTAATAATTAAAGCAGCCATTAAAGTAAAGCAATGGACGGTGATGGAAAGAAAGTCAACTAATTAAAAGGTCAATGTTGGATGAGAGAGGAACTAACTGCTATCCCACAACAGAAGCATTCTCCCTCGGTTTATGAATTCATTTCTTGTTTATTCATTGATAAACACCTGGTGCTCATCTTTTTATTATTGTAAATAAAATTTAATGAGTAATTTGATAATATATATACACCTATTAGAACCCGTATAATACAGAATTAAAATTAATATATACTAGAAAAACGATATAATGAGAAACATTTAACATTTACATTCATCAAGATCGTCATAAATAGTGAACAAAATACAAAGCCGGATACAATCAAGCCACGATTTGTTATCGTTATAACTTTGCCGACTTCAACCATTCGTTATGTTGACTCCTAAAAGTTTAATTTATTTCCTCTGTTGACTATTTTTAACACATGACATGTTTTAGGCTTTAGCAAGGTAATTAATGACCTGATGAATAGAGTAATGCACAGATTAGTAGGCATGGCTTGAGGGTTAAGGAAGGAGACTATACACTAATTAATAAAAAAGTTAGCACCTTCAAACCCTATTTTATAATTAAATTAATCCAGATTGTCTCCAGCTCTATTATACACAGTAGAAATGTGTACAGAACTAAGATGTGTTTCAAGAATATGATCTGTAATAAAACAAGCTGATCTGTTGTATATATCGTCGGTTTCTGATTTTATGCTGATTGTCAGATTACTAGGGCACACTAAAAATGGTAACAGGTAATAATGATGGTCTAATCAGTAACATAAGATAAAATGTTGTAATAATGATTGAAGGTACACTACAATGGTACTTGATTTTAATTATCCAATAATGTGAGTTGTTTAAAATCAACATGTGCAGCAAAACTATGAACAAGAGCTGGCGTTGGACCATATTGATAAGGAATTTGATCCTACAATTTTCTTTCGGATAGCATTGTTAACTTGTCAGCTCTCATTGTAAAACAAATGTTCTAATACAAATTATAAATTTCTGAGTTTCTTCATCTCAAACTCATGTTTCATCAGCTTTTATGTGATACACGTAGTTTAAATAATGTGAATTAACAAAGCGCACAAATTAAGAGTTTCCTCTTTTGAATTCTTCTTCAAATTTACCGACTAACATTATTGAGTGAATACGGTCTCTACTAAATATACGTAACACATCAGGTAGTGCAAACAAAATAGTTATGATTGAGATTATAAATAATAGGCCATTGTTTTAATTAATGCATTTAAAGCCACCTTGCATGAATTTCGAGTAACGAAGAACGTTGTTTAGTAATTGAAGTACAATCACAGCGAGGCTGCTAACAATGGTTTTTGATCTTCGACTCATTTCATTAATTTAATATATAATCAATTATCAAAATGTGATCGTGTAGAGTTCATCAGATTGTTGAATGAATGGACAGCATTTACAAATGATAAAGAAATTAAATATTCAACTCTTAGAGGGAACTGGGTCACAAATTAAGGAGCATCTGCATGTGATGTTATGAACTTTAACTTCTTTTAAAGAAGATTTTGCTGCTTTGTCACATGCAGATTGTTGACCCCAAAAAGTGCGCCAACAGATGCCGGTCCCACCCGCGCTTGCGTGGGCGAATGTCCAACACGCTAAGACACGTGGACGGTCTAAAACGAGCGGTTCAAAGGGGCGTGGGAGTAGCCCGACAACGCGGGACGGTGACGTTCGGGATCCGACGGGTTGTTCGTGATCCGATTGTACAATAATTACCAACCGGTGCTCGTAGATATATATGTGAAAGTGTATAAATTCTATTTATATATTGCAAGTAACTGAGAGAGTTGAGTAAATGTAGTCTTTTGTATTGATTCTTGCATTAGCCCTTTGACATTATACAATGGGGGTATTTATAGTGATACATATGGAATGGGGGCCCTTGGATGAAGTGGCACGTGGCCTCATCTCCTTAGTTTTAAACGTCTGTTCTTAGGCATGGGATTTGACTTGCTAGCTTACGGCGCATTTATTGCTTGTGCAGGGCCTCCATGCTAGTGACAAGACTTGACCTTTATGCTTATGACAGACATTCCATCAATCATTCGAATAAGATCTGTGCAGGCGATCTCTTGGGAGAAGTGACCATGGAGGATGTTTCCTTGTGGTTGAGGCTCGCGCATCAACTTCGGGACTTCGTCCTTTCGAGGACCTCAGCTACAACCAAAAGTTCCACGCCTCGGGCCATGGGCCTCGGTTAGAAGCAGTTCGGATATAACCCGCCTCGGCAATGTGGGCCACCTCGGCAGGAATGCCACGTGGATCAGGATGAGTGGGCCACTGGCCCAGGTTGGTAGGACGGGTGTGACAACACACAACAATAGTCCCCCAAGTCCAAGTATAATCATTAATGTAATGCGTGGACTTTAATGGAGTAAAATTTTTTGAACCCCCAAATAATAGTCCACCAAGTCCAAGTATAGATATTTATATTATGGTTGGAGTTAGAGAAGTTTTGCTGTAGGTGTATGATGAAGAAGCCGAGGTGGTTGGGAAACCGAAACCTGTGAGGCTTGAATGCTGAATGGGTGTGAAGAAGCCGAGGTGGTTGGGAAACCGAAACCTGTGAGGCTTGAATGCTGAATGGGTGTGAAGAAGCCGAGGTGGTGTGAGGAACCGAACCTGCGAGACTTGAATGTTGAATGGCGTCTGAAGAAGCCGAGGTGGTTGGGAAACCGAACCTGCGAGGCTTGAATGCTGAATGGGATCTGAAGAAGCCGAGGTGGTTGGGAAATCGAACCTGCGAGGCTTGAATGTTGAATGGCATCTGAAGAAGCCGAGGTGGTTGGGAAACCGAACCTGCGAGGCTTGAATGCTGAATGGGATCTGAAGAAGTCGGGGTGGTTGGGAAACCGAACCTGCGAGGCTTGAATGCTGAATGGGTGTGAAGAAGCCGAGGTGGTGTGAGGAACCGAACCTGCAAGGCTTGAATGCTGAATGGCGTCTGAAGAAGCCGAGGTGGTTGGGAAATCGAACCTACGAGGCTTGAATGCTGAATGGGATCTGAAGAAGCCGAGGTGGTTGGGAAACCGAACCTGCGAGGCTTGAATGCTGAATGGGATCTGAAGAAGCAGAGGTGGTTGGGAAACCGAACCTGCGAGGCTTGAATGCTGAATGGGTGTGAAGAAGCCGAGGTGGTGTGAGGAACCGAACCTGCAAGGCTTGAATGCTGAATGGCATCTGAAGAAGCCGAGGTGGTTGGGAAACCGAACCTGCGAGGCTTGAATGCTGAATGGGTGTGAAGAAGCCGAGGTCCAATGGTAATGATTATGCTTTGGTCTTTGTGCCAATGATTTGATGTTTTGTGCTTGTTTTCGAGGAAAGGTAGCTGAACCGTTACGACTTCCAAGGCGCTGGCGCCGACGAATTAAAAATACAATTATGAGCGCAGCTGGCGTTTCTAGAAGCTGACGCGTTGGAGAGGTGCGTGTGAGGTACGCATAGATAGGAGGCGTAGGATTTCAAAAACTATTTGAATTCAACGCCTCGGATTGGATCTGAAATGGAGGGCTCGGATTGACTGAGATTTGATCTGACGGGTGGGGTTCGTCGTGGACCTTTATAAAAGGCGAGAAAATCCCATTTTCCAGAAATTTTGAACACTTTGCATTCTCAAATTCTCTCAAATCTCCCATTTTCCGACGTCAAGGTTGTCTGCGATTAGATTCCGACCAGTCTCCGTTTGCGTTGAACTCTTTTAGGTATTGTTTGCATAAAAAACCGTTGTTATTGTCTTTGTTCTCAAGAAAAAATGGAGTCCACTTCGGGTAGGGAGCTTGTCACAGTGGCGTCTTTAGATCATGGGGTAGGTCATGGGGGGACGTCCGAGGTGGATAGGTATGCCATGGCCGAGGAGGCTGTGGATTATACCCAGGAGTGGGGGGCTTCTAGAGTGCCCTCAAATATGACGGGGAAGAGGTTGGGGGAACTTAGGGAAAGGTACAGTGTGCCTCATAACATAGAGATGTTAGTCCCCGAACCGAACGAGCGGGCCTGCTATCCGAGGCCCGGCTGCGTGGCCGTGAGTGAATACCTGTTCAAAGCAGGTATGCGTCTTCCTTTGCACCCCTTCTTTAGGGCGGTGCTTAGGAAATTCATGCTGTCGCCGACCCAGGTTCTGCCGAATGGGTGGAGCCAGCTGGTCGGCTCGTACTTCCTGTGGAAGGAAGTTTCACTTGGGGAGGACATGCCTCTTCATGTCTTCATGACCCTGTTCTAGGCCCGGGTAATTGGGAAGGAGTCAAGGGGGTGGTACTACCTAACGCCTTGGGGGGCTCAGGCACCCTTTGTGGTAGGACTTCCTTCCTCTATTAAGGGGTGGAAGGAGTCCTGGTTCTGGGTGCGAGGTAAATGGCAGGCAGTGGAGGGTGACAAAGCCCTGTCATGCACAGTGCCGACCCAGTACTACGAAGCTCGTGAGTCTCCCGACCTCTGCTTGTGTTTTGAAATCAGAATATTTATTCGTCTAACTATTGGAGGTGCGTCTTTGCAGATAGTAGTACGAGGTTCGAACTCAGCAGGGAGGAATTCGAGGTGATTGAAGACATTTACAAGAGGCCGCTGAAGCTTCGGCACTTCGATCACCTGATTGACAGAAGCAGATACTTCTTGGATTTCGAGCTGATGGCATCCAGAGGTATGGGGCCCCAACATTTGATTTTTTATCCTTAATGTTTCTTATGCTGATGCTAATCTAACATATTGTGCAGACAAATTCAAGAAGAGGGAGTACCCAGCTCCGGACATGGCCTCCATTTTGAAGGCCACTTCTACTGCGAAGGCGAGGCCCCTGAAACCTGGGTCCAGTGGAGCAAAGGAGGTCCG